GTCATATGATTGTTGGGTTTTTCTCTGTATCTATGAAGCACCTTGAGGCGACTTTTGTTGTGATTTGGCGCTATATAAATAAAATTGAATTGAATTGAATTTTTTTCTGAGGTGCTGTGAAAAGTGTAAACCTATCATTTTGACCCCGGATGTACTTACAGGAAACGTGCAGGTGCCTACACGACCTGAGGATCCACGCGGGAGACCGGACGCTCTCAGGTAGGAGGAGGAGGACTGAAAGAGGAGAGCGGAAAGCCTCTCCTCTCTGCTTCTTTATTTTAAGCCTCACATTCCCCTCCATGGCTGTAGATCTCTGCATGTTGAAGGAACAGCCTGTCACTGTAGGAAACCCAAGAATCAGTCTAGCTAGCACAGAGAGCCCCGCTCCATCACGCCTGTCTATAACAGTATGACAGCCATGTGATGTCCAAGTGTGCATGCTGACCCCCTCCTGCTTTCAGGGCGGAGCCTGCTGGAGTCCGATGGGTGAGGTCAGAGCTGAAGAAGTGTAAGTGTGTTTTTAATGTGATTCAAACAGCGCACGGTCCCATCACTCATTCTGCCGAGCTTGGACAGACGGGACTTCTTTAAGTTTCTTGAAGACGCCTCATCCGAGGAGCTGCTTCAGTTCTTGGACCAAACGGTATTTAAACGCCGGTGGGAGTGTCCCTCAATGGTGACTCATCTCATGAGCTAAGGCGAAGCAATGTGACCCTGCCATACTGAGATCACCTGACCTCAGGCTGGACTGTAGGTCGTGCACAGTCTGTGTCGTAAGCCACGCCCTCTGTCCAAAGTGGACACAGATGTGATGAAATGTGAACACTGGCATCCTCAGGGAGTGGCCTTTGACCTTTTGGAGCAGTGGTCCAGGTCAGTGTAGTCCACCTTCTGGCTTTAGAACTGAAGCAGCCTCTCGGATGAAACGTCTGGACAAACTCGGAGAAGTCCGGTGGTCTTGGTTTGGCTCCTGAGACCGCCGAGGCCTGGATGACTGACTGTAGCTGGATTGTGTTTGTTCTCTCATCAGATTGCTGTCAGCTCACCATCGACATGAACACGGTGAACAGGAAACTCAAACTGTCCCACCGTACCAGGAAAGTGGAGTATCTGTCGGAGCCTCAGCGGTATCCCGATCATCCCGACAGATTCGACCGGGCTCAGCTGCTGTGCAGAGATGGGCTGGAGGGTCGCGGGTACTGGGAGGTGGAGTGGACCGGCGAGGTTTACATAGCGGTGAGTTACAGAGGGATCAGAAGGAAAGGAGACAGCAACGAGACCCTGTTCGGGTGGAACAACCAGTCGTGGAGTCTGTACTGCTCCGATACATACGCCGTCTGGCACGACGGCAAAGAAACGGCACTCTCCTCGCGCTCCTACTCCTCATCCTCCCTGTCCAACTCTAGTAGGGCAGCAGTGTACGTGGACTGTCACGCTGGCACTCTGTCCTTCCTCAAGGTCTCCTCTGACACTCTGACCCACCTCCACACCTTCAAGACCAAATTCACTGAGCCCGTGTATGCCGGGTTCAGAGTCTTCACTGAGTCCTCATTGCGTCTGTGCTGAGTGGCATGGAGAGCGTCCACTCGTGGGGTGGGCTAGTGGATGTGTTTTCAGAGTAATGGTAGAGGGAGCTTTCTCTCGCTTCTCTTCGAGTTGTGACATTTCTTTCCTTTATCCTGCATGTGCTGCACTCGGGGTCAAAGGTTTGGCTGTAGTTCTGACCCAGGCATCAGTGATGTTCCCGCTGTGCTCCTCCCTGCCTGAGGGTGGTGCTGTTCACTGGTTAAAGACTTTAACTGGAACCTGACCGGGCTGGTTTGGCTCCGCCTTCTTCCAAAAGTCACATGCCTGCAGCGTGAACATGTTTTTAAACTTTGTGCATGTTGTAAATGTTATAAACACAAATGTCTGACTGTGCGACACACTTCCTGTTGTGTGTGTAACTGTGGAGGCGGGTCGTTGCTCTGGCTGTGACGCTCTGATGACCGTGGTTGCACGCTCTGACAGATGCTTTTATGATGACTGTGATGTTTTTGTGTAATTGTGTATAAAGTTTGATTTGAATGTGCAGCTGTAGTTCCTCAGTGTGGCCACCTGATGGCAGCAAACCCTCCGACTCTTTCAGCGTGATTCACTGCTTCCTGTTTCCAGACAGTGTCTGATTGGAGGACACAGAAAGTCCAAACAAATGTGTACTTATGTGATGTTTCAAAGATCAATAAACAGAAAAGTGAACGGCTTGTTTCTGTCAGTCTTCTCTGAAGTCTGTAGATGCTGAGGAGCGTTGCAGGAAACCACGTCCATCTTTAAAGTGGGCCGACATTCCCACGTTAGCCGACGTTCCCTCTGTTCCCTCTCTGTTCCCTCAGAATCGGGACAAGCTGATGTATCCTGTTGTGACTGTGGCTGTCAAGCTTTCCTTTTCTGCCCCACCCCATGTTTCAGGCTGTTGTTGTGCCACACCTGGAATACAGACAAACTGTTTTGTTTACACGAGACGTCTAAATTTAGACGTCCCACAGTAAGACGTGTTACATAAACAGACAAATATCTCATGTTCAGTTATGAAACTGGTTCTTTGACGTCTTCTTTGGAATTTGGAAACGATCCCAAACAGTCTCATAAAATCTGTTCCAGAGAACTCCACAACCAGATTCTCAGGAAGTCGTCTGAACAAACACGAGTGATCAGGCTGCATTAGTCCACTCGCACAGGAGGACACACACAGGGTTACGTGATCAGCTCGGGTAACCAGTGCAGGTTTTTTACCCCGATCAAAGAAGAGGATTCGGGTTTCCCTGATTCCAGCACACAGCTCAGACATGATCGCAGAGGATCGCCCAAATGGACGCCACCTGAGCACTGCCTCGCTTACACAATAATAATAATAATAATGGATTGGATTTATATAACGCTTTTCAAGGCACCCAAAGCGCTTTACAATACCACTATTCAGTCACTCTCACATTCACACACTGGTGGAGGCAGCTACAGGTGTAGCCACAGCTGCCCTGGGGCAGACTGACAGAAGCGAGGTTGCCATATCGCGCCATCGGCCAACACCAGTAGGCAAGTAGGGTAAAGTGTCTTGCCCAGGGACACAACGACCAGGACAGAGAGCCCAGGGATCGAACTGGCGACCTTCCGGTTACAGATGCGCTTCCCAACCCCCTGAGCCACGGTCGCCCTGTCACACAAGCACGTTCTACTGTGCTGAAGTGGCGACACCTGGGAGGTGGGAGTGCGCTGTCTGGGCAGCGATGTTTGGAAACAGTCTGAACCCCAGCGTGATACCTGCTTGTGACGCTGACGCACACAAACCTGCACAGGTCCGAACAAAGCTGCTCATTACACATGTCAGGAGCTGTGATCAGACATCAAACAAGGAAGCAGAGCGCGTTGAAGACAGCGAGCTGAACCTGCTGCTCCAGCACAAACCTCCCTCTGTGAACCTCCGTGTTGCTCACAATGATCAGTAAAGTCAGACTGCTGTTTGTTTCCAGCAGGTTTGTTCTACACAGCAAAGGTCGGCATAGTTAGGTTGGATTTTAGCAACTGCTCCTGCAGGTTATTCTTTTTGATGTTTGGAGTAGAATAATCCTCCAACCCATATTTAATCTGTATTTTAATCTTCCATTCACCGGCAAACACCACAAAAAACTACAGTGAAATAACAACTGGAAACACAAATATTCTGTCAGCAAAATAAAATTACAACCCAAATAAAACGTAACACAAAGTAAAACACACAAACATGTGCACCTTTCTGCCAAACGTTCATAAGCAGTTGCAGTCCATATCGTCCAAGCCTGTTTTCCTGGCACGAGTCCTCAGGCTGGCAGCACAAGCACAACTCTGAAGTCCACCACTAGGTGGCAGCAACACGACATGGAACCAGATTAAACAAACAACTTTAACTTTGTAATCACAGAATAATTACATTTTAATTCATTTACAAATATGTATTAACATGGAAAAAGATTAAATGTGTTTTCCTTCTTTATTCAAAGGTCATATTTGTCACATTGATCACACGGGTTTCAGACACCTTATACGTCATCCTGCTGAGCGACCTCTGAACTTTAGCGTGGATGCTGCATACTTCTTCGGTTTACGGAGTCGTGGCTCAGTGAGAACATCCCGGACAGCGCGCTCAAGCTGGAGGGCTTTCATCTGCTGCGCGCGGACTGGCAGGCGTCTCTCTCTGGTAAGACCAAAGGTGGAGGTGTCTGCTTCTACATCAATAGTGGCTGGTGCACAGATGTAACAGTGATTGCTCAGCACTGCTCTTCCTCTCTGGAATACCTTTTCATTCACTGCAAACCGTTTTATTCTCCGCGGGAGTTTGCTTCATTCATCCTGGCCGCTGTTTACATCCCGCCAGACGC